GATGCCTCTTCCTTGAGGCTGCTGCAGTGTACATACAGTCAAGCGGAGCTGCTGCTGTTGCTGCAGCAGGCGTTTCCAGCAGCAGCAGCAGCATTGAGTGAGTGGTGTTGTTATTATACAAAATATATATACACATTTACATATATATATTTATATATATTTATATATATATATATTTATATTAACTTATATTTATTAATATATATAAACATTTGCTGCGGCATATATACTAATGAAAGAGAGGATTGCGTTTGAGAGCTTCTTCAGTAAAGTGCTGCACCTTATCTATGAATTCTTCTGTATATAAATAGTCTCCTTCTTTAATATCATTATCATTATTATTATTATTATTATTATCGTTGTTGTTGTTGTGCTGTCTGCAGCATAGAAGGAGGTCTTTGGTCATATACCCCTGTTTAACAGTTTCAATAGTAGCAGCTTCAAGTGTCTCTGCATACACCTGAAGAAGTTTATTATTATCTAACTTAGCTCTATGTTGAAGTGCAGCAGTCCAAGCAAAGATAGAAGCAATAGAATTCGTCGAGGTCTTTTTATTTTGTTTGTATAATAGATAATGTCTTGTTACAGTACCGTGTGCTGCTTCTGCTTTTATTATACCGCCCTCCTCAGCTATTAACATCGACCGCATTAAACCTAACGACCCGAACCCTTGTGCTATTATATCGCTCTGTACATCTCCGTCGTAGTTCTTGCAAGCCCAGACAAAACCGCCTGTTGACTTCAAACTGTATGCAGCCATATCGTCTATCAAACGGTGTTCGTACCTAACAAATAAATAAATAAATAAATAAACAAATAAATAAATAAATTAATTAATTAATTAATTAATTAATTAATTAATTAATTAAATATAGATATAGTTATGCGTGTGTGTGTTTATCTATATTAGTTTATTTATTTACTTACTTACTTTTTGTTTATTTGTATATTTGTTTATTTATTTGTATGTATTTATTTATTTGTTTGTTTATTTATATTTATTTATCTTTATTTATTTATTTATTTATATTTATTTATTTCTATACTTATTTATATACTTGTGTATACTTATATATACAAGTAGATATGTATGAACGCATAAATAAATATATATACAGATATATGTTAACATATCAGTAAATATATACATAATATATATATATATTATATATTATATATATAATATATAATATATATATATATATTTATATGCATAGAGAAGAAGAAGAGACAGCAGAAGAGAGACAGAGAGACAGACAAACATCAAATAAAACAAAATAAAAAAAAAGAGACAGAGAGACAGAGACAGATAAACATCAAAACAGAGATAAGACACAGCCAAGCAGCAGCAGCAGCAGCAGCAGCAGCAGCAGCAGCAATTATTTTAATTATTATGAATAATAATTAAAATAAAAAACAGAAGGAGACAGTTATTGACAAAGAGAGACAGTAAAAGGAGACAGAAGAAGCATAAACACATAAGACTATGTTAACTTTAAAATATAAAATATAAATATAAATATAAATATAAATATAAATATAAATATAAATATAAACATAAAATAAAGATAAATAAAGATATAAATATAAAAAGATAAATAAAGATATAAATATAAACTTACTGGATGCCTAGGCGTTTAAACTCTTGTTCAAACTGTTGTGCATACACCTCAGCAAATATATCCTTGAAGCGACCGTCATAAGCTTTAAGAACAGTATTTTTTGTTGAGAAGTACAGAGACATTTTATTATCAATCGCATAGCGCAAGCAACAAATAGCGAACTCTTTAATACTTTTATCTTCGTTAAACATCCCTACACTTACACCCCCGCCTTCTTTAAACTCATGCACTTGGTACGACTTCGAAGCAGAACTGCACACATAAACCCTAAACCCTAAACCCTAAACCCTAATAACCCTAATAACCCTAATAACCCTAACAACCCTAATAACCCTATCAACCCTAATAACCCTAAACCCTAAACCCTAACAACCTTACCAACCTTAACAACCCTAACACCTCTAACACCCCTAAAACCCCTAAACCCTAAACGGTAAACCCTAAACACCCTAAACCCTAAACCCTAAACCCTAAACCCTAACAACCTTAACAACCTTAACAACCCTACCAACCCTAACACCCCTAAAACCCTAAAACCCCGAAACCCTAAACCCTAACACCTCTAACATCCCTAAAACCCCCAAACCCTAAACGGTAAACCCTAAACCCTAAACCCTGAACCCTAAACCCTAAACCTTAACAACCTTAACAACCTTAACAACCCTACCAACCCTAGCACCCCTAAAACCCTAAAACCCCGAAACCCTAAACCCTAACACCTCCCAAACCCTAAACGGTAAACCCTAAACGGTAAACCCTAAACCCTAAACCCTAAACCCTACCCATCAGCAGGTGTGTAGGTGATGGTTACAGTGCCCGGGCCGGGGACACGAAAGTCTTGAGCGCGATATTGATCGCCGTATGCATGACGCGCAATTACTATCGGCGATCGCCAAGACGAGACCAAACGAGGAATCTGCAGCAGCAGCAGCAGCAGCAGCAGCAGCAGCAGCAGCAAAAGCAGCAGCAGCAGCAGCAGCAGCAGCAGAAGCAGCAGAAGGAACGGCAGGATTTGTGGTGATAGTTGTTTTGTTGTAGGTGATGTGGGCGTTGTATAGAGGGAGGAGATCCAGCTGCTGTTGCTGTTGCTGCTGCTGCTGCTGCTGCTGCTGCTGCTGCTGCTGTTGCTG